ATTTTTAATTTCTCTTTGATATTTGGGCTGATTGGGGCCCGATGAATGTAAAAACAAAGAATTACCAGATTTTCTTTTTTACCTGATTGTTGTTTCTAAGAAAAACGAGAGCCACATATGAGGATATTTGTTTAAACTTTTGATAGAACAGTAGCAGTATAATGTCCTTGTAAGTGGATATCAGGCCCTTGTAGAGCTAAAATGAGAATTTTGGCCTAAATAACTCAAAATGTGATGTCCACATATGTGGACGCCAGGTCCTAGGAGGTTAAATTGTCTTACTCACTGTGATTCTCTGTTCTTAATGATTTTACATTTTGTAATTTGATAGGTATTTCCATTCATTCTTATTGATTTTTAATTCTTTGTAAAGTAACCTTCAGTGTTTAGTGTTATTATTTGATAAAATATATTTTACCCTAAAGATTAATGGGGTCCAGCCATGTATAACTTCCTTGTTAATTCTTCTTAGAGTTATAAAACTCATAAAAAATCCTATTTTATCAGCAGCTGGTTTAAGAGGATGGCATTTTACATAAAAAAAAAAGACATGCAGAGAAGCCACAAGTTTATTCTTCGAGTTAATCACCATGACAGTCTATGAAGATTAGAAATATGAATCTATGAGGAGGTGCAGCACAGATTTAACATTTGTTTATGTAGAGTCTATTCAACACAGACTGCAAAACATGCAATACTCTTGCAATAACATGACAAACTGCATTCTTAGGATTGAAAATGCCAACTGGAACAATGATGGTAATAACAACATAAACTCACCTTTATTTAACATCACCAAACAAACAGGTTCTTTTTATTGTTTATGGCTATATAAGTAAGTAATGTGTTTAATATAAAATGTGAACATGAATTCAACAGAAACTAAAGGTGTCTCACTCTTAACTGACACTCCAGATGGTCTAAGCACTGCCCGGATAGACAGGCGTGTGGAAAACTACTGGGGAGCTTCTCTGCTGAACGCAAATTTTTGTTGCTGTGGAAGTTATCCCGCAAACATGCAATGCTTCGCCCAGCCTTGGGGCAAATTACAAGTAGTCACAGTTAAAGCTTTTCACTGAAACCTGTAATTTTACCACATTTGTTGTAAACAATCAGCCCTTTTTAACAAAGCATTTTATTCCTATTGAGCGATCATGTGAGAAGCTTTATCCTATCTTAAAATCAGTATGAGTAATTTCCAGCCACACTTTCCAGTTTCAGATAAACACAGCCAAAGAGTTGACTGAGAGAGTCCAAATGTAACAGTAGAGAAAATCCTGAACACTGAATCATAGTGGATATATTTAGGCTTTTTTTGGTCAGCTATTAACTGTGACTCATCTAGAATCAAAAGGCCTAAAAACTGTATGACATGACAAATACTACAACAGAAAACATATCAAATGTTTGAGCTGAGAAAATGCATTATTTAAAGCAATATACTAACTAATTAACTAACTAACTAAAAAATAATAAAATAAAAAAATAAAAATATACTAACTAATTTTGAATTTGATGGCAGCAACATCTCTCCAAAAAAGTTGGTTCAGAGCCATGTTTACCACTGCGTAGCATCACCTCATCTTTTTACAACAGCCCATAAATGTCTAAGACCAGCTGCTGGACTGTGGAAGAAGAATGCTGTCCCTTTCTCGTCTGTTAGAAGATTCTAGCTGCTCTTTCATGATGCACTGAATGTTTTTTATTGGTGAAAGGCTTGGACTGCTAGCAGGTCAGTTCAGCACCCAGACATAGATGCAGTTTGACAGGCTGAAATACCCACGCTCTTCCCTGAGAAATACATAGTCTGGATGGGAGTATTCGATGCTCTAAACCTTTAAGCGTTGACGGTGCATTTCTAAATGTTTCCAGTTCCATAGGCACTAATGCACCCTCATACCATAAGTGATCATCTAGATCATGTTCACCTAAAGCTCTTTTCTTACATGACAGAGTTTCAACCAGCATTTGTGGATGCACAATGAACTGTGTTTACAGACAGTGATTTGTAGAAGTGATCCTGAACCCATGACGTGATGACCAAAGCTCACAGACAACCAGTATTGATATTCTGTCTTGTCTCTTGCGCACAGGGATTTCTCCAGATTTTCAGAATCCCTTGATGATTATGTTCTGTAGATGATGGGATAAGTCTTTTCAATTTTACATTGAGGAACATTATTCTAAAATTATTCCACAATTTGTGGACAGTTTTTTTTGTAAAATGGTGACCTCTGCCCATTTTTACTTTGGGAAGCTCTGCCTATTTAAGGTGCTTTTTTGATGCCCATGCATGTTACTCACCAATTGCCAGTTAACCTGATTAGTTGCAGATGTTCCAGTTGCTTTTCTACCATTTCCCCCCATCTGAACAATTTTTTTTTAAATGTGTTAGTGCTATTATGATGCTATTAATGGCAGCAGGCTTAAGGGAGCTTGTATTTTTCATGAAAAATGACATTTTAATTTTTCACTTTAAATAATTGATATTTGTGTCTATGAGATTTGCACATTTTTACAATCTTTTTCTTTTTACATTTTACATAACTTTTTTTGAATTGGGATTTGATTGGGATTTTTTTTTAGGCCAGTTTATTAAAGTAAATGTCCACATGTCAGAAAAATAAGCTCTAAACTAATGACTAGCATACATGCATGGACTGCCTTCTCGAGCTTGGTCAAAAATGACTGAGACAGAGTACAAATAAAAACCTGAATGAAACAACGTGAAACTTGTGCACACTCTGATCAGGTTTCACGTCATTTGTTTGTTAGCAAGGAGCTGCTTAAGTGAACTCCAGAAATCTTTGAGGACATGGCAATCTGCAGTCTGTCCTTGACCAGTGCCCCTAAAAAATAACAACACTGATGATGGTGGACAAAGAGGAACGTCCACACCTCCATATCAGACGAGAGCATCCCCATAACATCATTTCACCTGTTGTACTTAACCCTTTCATATTTCAAAATAGAGGTTGTCGTCACTGAAAGACAGCTGCACCTGTTTGCAGCAAACAGTGTACAAGCCATCTAGAAATCAACAATACCGCACAGATGGAGGCTTAAAGTAAAATTCAAAGATAAGGCTGGTGAGATTCTATATTTTACTTTTTGTTGCCAAATCCTAAAGTAAGACCAAAAGTAGCTACGGCTAAATCTACATCAGAGAATTAACACCAACAAGGAGATGTATATGGGACTGAATTAAAAAACACAAATTCTGTGTTCATGGTAACAAAAGAGCTAGTGTGGGGTGTATGTTAATATATTTTTATTTTACAGCAACAGTGTGATTATTGAATTTTATTACAAATTTCAACATTTAAAAAAATGTTGCTCTCACACTGAAGGCCTTATAATTTACATAATGATGTTAGTGAAATCAAAATTCCCTAACATCATTCAACAAACCCATGTGAATGTGTGATGATTAGTGTTTATCTGATAACAAACAGTCATGACCCACATATACTCACTCGAACAATTTAGGGTTTTGAAACAAGCTTTTATAAGCTTGTAACCAGCATCTGTTTAATTCTGTTTTCTACACCCCTCGTTCATTTCTTCATTTTATGTTTGTCGGCTATTTAAAATAATGAAATAGGTGCAGAAATATTAATCTATCACAGAAATGGTAAACGGAAGAGAAAGTGTCAGGTACAAGAGGAGGTCGCTCAAGAAACTCTACTGTAACTTTCTTGAGTTTACAACCTTTTCTTCATGCGACCTGTAAAACATGACAGCAATATATTTTAAGAGAAAATGTGAGACAGGTGTGCTGCTCTCGCTCTGACTGAGTTTATGCATCTTGATGAGTCACTGCAGGCAAATATTCAGGCAAAAAAGTACAGTGTACACAGTGTATATATACAACAATAAAATAAAACAAGAAAACACGAATATTTTTAGAAATCTGCCAAAGACCTGTTTAAAATTTTAAAATGGTTTTGTTTTTATTAGGCAAGTAACAAACTGAATTCACGTTTTTACACCAAAATGCAATAATAATGTGTTTTACAAATTTTTCTGCCTTTTTTTAAAACTGTAAATATAAACTCGTGGATAACAAAATAATCAAAGCATTAAAATATTTTGGAGTAGCTTTGATAAGCGTGTGCAAACTGGTGGATTAACCATTATAGGAACATTTAAAAAAAAAAAATGTAGCTAAATTTGCTAAAATACCAATAAAACAACATGAAGATATGAAGACTGCCCTTTAAACCTGTTACTAACCAGCCAGTTACCATTACTGCTGCTGGCACTTTCAGGGAATTAAGTGAAGTGAGACATCTCGCTGTGTTTACTCCCTCGCTCGTACTCAGGTGGGTATGTCGTGACGACAATAAGCCCCTCCCCCCGACTACTAACGAGACACCTCTCTTCCTTATTTGTGGTCATACCTGGGGCGTTAGGCGCAGTGGTTGCCAGGTGTGCGGAGCTCGTCTGGAGCTCGTTTGGCTTTGTGTCATGACTGAAGAAGGCTACCTTTTTTGTTCTGTACTCGTCAACGTCCGATAAATATCGATGATAAACATAGCTGCCAAGATCATAAAGTGGTGAGTGAACGCCAGAGCGCGTCTATTAACTCTCTACTAACCTTTAGTTGTACTTATTTGAGTGTTTTTTCCCCCCCGCGGCTTCCTGGTAAATATCACACCTGATAGGGCTTCGTGTAATTCTTTGGTAATGGATTCTGTGCGTGTTGTGTGCTCGCAGGTTGGTCTACAGAAAATGAAAACCTAAATGTGCTATGTAATGCAATCAGGCTTCCTATCACTGAGTAGCTGAGAGTATAAAGCGCGTGAATCCACATGATATATATATATATTTTTTTAATTTAATGTGGGTTTTTAAAAAGATTTCTTCCACTTTAACACAAAAAATCTGATAGTAATAAAAGGAAGCAATTAGTTAATCAGTGTTAGTACACATAATAAATATTATACATATAGTACAGTTTATATCCTTTTATAGAGCATACAAAATATTAGGCCTATATTTATACATAGATGTGTTGACTGAACATCTATGCTGTTGTGTGTTACCCTAGTAACACTTTTTCAGCATGCGTCTTGCCAAAAATTCTTATATTTTTGCACTTTAAATACAGCATAATAATGCAATTTTTTTCACTTATCTTTAAACATGTAGAATATTATATGTACTTCATTAGAAGAATATTAAAATATATATATATATTATACTAGATTCAAGATAGGATAGGTTTACTCCCAGACCAAATGTTTAGTCTGATTGCCAAGGTGAGTATTTAGCTTTGGGTTTTTATTTTGGCATGTAATGAATTGAGACATAAGCTTGATCCAAGACTTGCTCGACTGAGCGATCCTGTTAAAACTTGTCAGAATGGGTGTCACAGCAGGAAAAAAGGAGCTTGTTGTCTCTGTTTGTGCTGAGCAAAACAGAAAACAAATTACAAAAAGGGAAAAGGTGTGACCCCTTTGCGATATTCTGTACATTACAGGTTGGTAACCAGTAAAAGACGGTTTCCTACACTTCCTGTGGTGACTGATTGCATCAAGCATGTTAAGGTGGCAGAAAACTACTTTGGTGTCTGAGTTCCCACTGAGCTGAGCTTCAGTAAATTTCCAGTCCATGTAGAAAAGTCATGCAGCAGTTTGCAGTGACGTGCAGTGGCTTAAGAAATTCATCAAGCATTTCCAACATAATTGTGCGTACTTTGTTTCTGTGTGTAATCTTTATCCAAGTATCTCTCGGGAATAAGGAAGTGCATAAACAGTATTAACGTATTCATCTCCAGCATTTTCTTAGACAATGTAAAATTTGCTTAACACCAAACGGCATGTTTCAAACTCTTTTTCACGTTTTGTCTGGCAATTTCTGCCAAATCCACTTTGCTTTTGAAACGAGCAAAATGAATCTAACGTCACACTTTCAGTTTATTTATTTACTGAAACACTCCTATAATGTTTGAATTCCTTGATTACAGCTGATGATATTGCCAGCCAATTATTAACAGTTCATTTTAACGTTTGATAACCATATGAAAATTGTCACTGACCCCTATATGTAAATGAAAAACTGGTATTATTGGTTGTGTTTGCTGTTTTCCCACCATATCTGCTTGTTTCAGGTAACAACAAGACATTCTGCCTCAAGCTCGTATCACACCATTGCCACTTGCTTGTGATGTCACTTCCCTGTCACAGAGTGTGATGGCTTGTGCCAGGATGGTGAAGCATCTCGGGCTGCCATTGCTGCTCCTGCTGCTGGCATTAGCTGCAGAATGCAACAGTAAGTTAAATCACTGAGGTTTGATTCGCTCAGAATATTTACTTATGGTTAGACGACATTTCAGCTGAAGTATAGACGTTTTAGTGTTAATGCATGGGGTTTAACAGAAGTATTGCTCCTACATCTCTTTTGACGTCATGCTGAGAGGATTGATAAAGAAACATCCATCACTGGGCAAATTATTAAGTTATTTTGAACCTCTGAAAATTGGTGACATACATAAAAGTGGCTGTAACACCCAAACCTCAATGTGATTCTTTTGTTAAACCCTTTGAATTAAAGCTAAAAGTCTGCACTTCAATCACAGCTTGACTAAAATCCACTGTGCTGGTGTACAGAGTAAACAACTACATCATGGTCCAAAACTGGGCCTTTAGTGCTAGTGGCCTACAGACTATAAAATGCAGATAGTTTTGGAATTTTTTTGCTCATTATCCTGAATAATTACATTTAAAATTTAAAACAAAACACCTTTTTTTTTTTTTTTTTTTTTTTTTTTTTTTTTTTTTACTAAAATAAGTTTTCTCTGGTGTGTTATTCTGTTATTTGGAATCTAACAAAAAGCAGCAATGGTTAAAATCTCAGTTTGAAAACACTGAATCTGAGCAAGATTTAATGTACAGACTAATAACTGTGTCTCTACATTAAATCAGTCTGAAGATTAACTGTGAATCTTTGCAAATATTAAAGTCCACAAATAAAATGAAATGAAGTTATGTTTGATATTAGTGTTTTCAATTCTGCCTACTTTCCGTAGCCATGTTACGTCTAGCAGCTGGACATTTCTGGGCTCCTGCTCTCGAGCAGTAGGAGTTTTACCCTCACTTTATCCTTTCTTTTGAGCCAGAAGCTCCCTTGTTGTGCCTCATCCACCAGATATTTGAGAGCATTTATCAGCATGGAGTCTGTCATTGCAATTCCAACACCCCACACTCTGTTCATGAGCGCACATCTGACAGTCCTCAGTAATTTTCCCTTTTCCCTCTTCCCACAGAGCAGGCATGATAGTGTTAGATATGTTACCATAGTGAGGTTGTGGTTTTCTGTTGTGGGAATTTTGATTTTGTATTGAGCTCGTGCTCTATTTCCTTTCAAGCGACAGTAGTTGCCAACACCTCCAACTGCAAATCTGAGCCCCACCTCTTTGCCTGACAAACAGGATCAGGCACTCTGATGTTATCATGCTCTCTGTTTGCTTCCAGCCTTATTGCTTTCAGCTAGGTTATACAGGACCCTCATAGCAGGCCTATGTTACTGCTTCCTTCTAGAAAACGTGCTGCAAGGTGGTAGCTCTCCTCTAGGCCTCCTACATAGCCTTGATAATGATGCACAGCCTTGCTTGGGGCATCCACCATACGTGTTCTCATAACAGCCTCCCAGGATGTCCACCTACTGTGCTCCTGTTGGCTAACAGCTCTGATTTTACTTGTCTTCTCTTTCATTTTCTCAGTCTCAACCCATATCTATCAATCTGTCCTACATTTATAGAAACAATCTTGTGCTTTTTCAGTCTAATGATGACAGAGTTTACTGAGATTCGAGACCGCTATGCTCTGTGCTTGAACATGAGAATGACCCAGTCATATACACATTTTATTATTGTTTTTTCTTAATATTATTCTTTTAGTTGCTCCTTTTATGGGTCTGCCTCCATTTCACCTGTTCCCTAACATCCTCCTCTGTCACACCAACCACATGCATGTCAATGACTATATCCATTAATCTTCTCTGTGGTCTTCTTCTTTTCCTCCTCTCTGGAACCTTCACATTCAATACCTTTGTCCTATATACGGACTGTCCCCACCTTGCCTCTCTAGCTTTGTCACTTAAGTATCAATAAACCTATTAAACTATTTTTGACAAATTTTCCCACCAATCACTGTGGAGTTTTATGTCTAAATAAACATTATAGAAAATGCCATTTCAAATGGTCACAGGTTGAGTTGCTGTGAGAACAGCTTAAATGAATAAACTCTGGGTGGATGAGTGAAACTAAGATAAGTTATCAAAGATAAGAGACAACGTTCACTTAAGATAAGTGAATGCTGTCCTTTAAATGACTCTGCCAAGTTTTTTATCATATTGTTTATTGGAAGCTGATGTCTCTTTGTCACGTGTGTTGCCAGGCATGTCTCCACCAGAAAAACCAGACAAACTTGGCTGCAGGTCCCCCGACAAGGAGACTTTTTTCTGCTGGTGGACCCCAGGCTCTGATGGAGGGCTGCCCACTGTGCATCACCTCTACTATAAGACAGAAGGGTTAGTTTAACCTACCAAGTCTGTTTTCTTGTTATTTTACACAATAGAGATTGTGGGTCCTCAGCTGGAATCAAACTGGAGTTTTAAGTACGGCATATTGTATTTGTCTTCACCCCACGCTACCAGATACTCCATGAAGTTTCAAATTCTTTATCACCCGCGTTGAGAAATAGTAAAGGTGTTGTTTAGTTGTACGTGGTCTTAGATAAGCAAATGTGGAAAACTACTGGGTCTCTTTTCACACCCTTGTGAGCTGAGCACAAATCTTTGTGGATGTGCAAGTACACCAACGTGGACGTGGCTCACCCAAATGACCCACATTTCTCTAGCTAAATCCTAGCACTAGCATTTCGAGAATCTTCACAGATGAAATGCCACAAAACTGAGTCATGGTCCTGAGAGGATGGATCCCGAAGATGTTCGTGTGTTTGTGAAGCCCTGACTTGCTGACATTCCAAATCATTAGTCATCCCAGCGAAGAATATAATGTATTTACATGCTAACCAGCTCATATTATCATTTAGATTTCCAGTAATTGTCTTTACTATAAATAATAAGAATATTATATGATATTTTTAAGTGTTTTTTTTTCTTTTGTCTTTGCTAGTTTTGAATCATCAATCACTTAACACGCATATTGGGTTAATTGATTGATTCCAAACTGGGCGAACTTGAGTATGTGAGATACACTTAACGCTTAAGCCCATAGAATATGATAGTAAGGTGCAATAGAAATGACTGTACATGCTTACAGACTCATTGGAAAATCCAATTATTCATTTCTTAGGAGATGCAACTGAAGTCACATTGCAGTGATCGGTGATGACATGTATTTTGTTCATGTGCAGTCAGGAGAATATGCGTCAGTGTCCGGACTACCACAAAGCTGGAAGTAACTCCTGTTTCTTTAGCAAGACCTCTATCTGGGTCGAGTACACTGTGATTGTGGAGGCCTCCAATGCCCTGGGGAATACTTCTTCAGACCCCCTTACTTTTGACTTGATGAACATTGGTAAGTTTTTCTAGTTTTAAATAATTTACATGAAATATATAAATCAAACATGATTTTTGATTGTTTTGTGATAAACAGAAACCAATAAAAATAGAAATATGAGCATATATCATTTCTGTAAAGCATTCTTGTACTAAAAATATCCTCAAAGTTCTTTTTTTTTATTTTCTGGGTTGTAATGATCATTTAAAATATGATTTATTTTGGCTTTTGGCCTATCACTGTACTGTGCACTAAACTATAAATCACGCTGACCTTTCTTTAGCTACACAGGTTATTATTTTACAACACTGAAGCTTGTTGATATAATTAGGATTTTCTGGTAATGATTAAGGGTCACTTCAAACTTTCTCATTCAGAATTAAAAACCTTTAAAATGTTAATAATAATAATCTGCTCAGATCAAAATATATTTGTGTCAGAACAGGAGTAACACAAAAATCTGTACGGACTGAGCTAATGATTGGCACAGTTTTATTGCCCAGACTGCCTTCTTGAGGCTGGTGAGGAATGGAAAAGTACTGAGTGACATACATGAGCTGCAAATAAAAACCTGAACAGAATGAGGTGGAACTGGTTTGTGCACAGCAAAACTTCTGTATACTCCAGCATCAGATTTCACACCTTTTGTTGGGGTTATACAGGCAGAGTGGTATCTGCGTCCTGTCTTGTAAGCAAACAGTAATTTCACTGCATTAGTTGTGGAGGGTTTTTGGCCTCAGAAAACACACTTTACAAGCACCCATGCATGAGACTAAGCACAGATCAACATGCTGGTTTCTGAACAGGGCAGCTGCAAACCAAAGTAGAGGTGTGGCCATAGGGAAGGCAATGCTAGTGTGCTGGTTGGTTGTTTCACATGTTTGCCTGCAAACAAATCATGGGTGTAGGGTTTCTGTTGAGTATCACGAGAAAATGTATTGGACTCTTCATTTGCTAAATTGCGATTACATTTTATGCACTAGAGTGTTTTTGTTTGTTTGTTTGTTTGTTTGTTTGTTTTTTAAATCAGTTCATTCAGTTCAATTCAGTTTTATTTACATGGCTCAAAATCACAACAACAATTAACTCAAGGCACTTTACATTGTAAGGTAAAGACCCAATAATAATACAGAGATAGCCCCCAACAATCAGACAACCTCTTATGAGCAAGCAGGTGGTGATAGTGGGAATAAAAAAAACTCACTTTTAACAGGAAGAAACCTCCAGCAGAGCCAGGGACAGTGAGGGGCAGCAATCTGCTGCGACTGGTTGGGAGGGAGAATGGACAAAAGACATGCTGTGGAAGAGAACAAGAGATTAATAATAACTAACTATTAAATGCAGGGTTTTGTATAAAAACAGTGAGTGAAAAAGAAGTGAGTGAAGAAGAAACACTCAGTGCATCATGGGAAACCTTCTAGCCGAATAGACCTATTGGGAGCCTTCTGTGTCACCTGATCCAGCCCTAACTATATGCTTTATCAAAAAGGAAAGTTTAAATCCTAATGTTAAAAGTAGAGATTCACACTGGGAGCTGGTTCCAGAAGAGGGCCTGGAAGCTGAAGGCTCTGGCTCCCATTTTATTATTGGATAGTGGAGTAGTGAAGATAGATAGGAAAGGGTGAGTGGGTGGGGGTGCAGCAACGGGTCGCAGGTCAGACTAAAACCTGGGCTGCTGCATTCTGGCCATGTTGAAGGCTTTTCAGAGAGTTCATTGTAACAATAAATTATAATAGTACAGCTTAAAAAGCAATAAATGCATTAACTATTTCTTTCAGCATCACTCTGAAAAAGAAGGCATCCCCTCCCCCCCCCCTTGGAGATGCTAGCACTAACAAAATTAAAAAGACAAGACTAAGCGGGAGATGGAAGGTTTGAAGATAATATCTTCATTGGGAGTGATCTGGATGGACAGGATCTGAAATGAGTATATCAGTGGGAGAGCTCAGGTTGAACAGTTTGGAGACAAAGTTAAAGAGGCCAGGTTGAGATGGTTTGGACATGTTCAGAGGAGGTATAGTGGATATATTGAGAGAAAAAAAAAGTGATGAAGATATGCGGGAGGACTGGTGGAACAGAAGAGGATGTTATGGATAGGCTGAGATGAAGTCAGGAAGCAATTTTGTTAAATGAGCTTGCTAGAGACCAAAATATTTATGATTATGATTTTTGCCTCACTTTAACAGCCCTACCTGATAGCTTGACCGTAAACGCACAAACTGTGGGTTAACTCTTGGACTCCAAGAACCTTGTGTAAAGTCACTCCTCACTCCAACATGCCCATCTGTATCTACACTGGTGTTATTGGAGAAAGGCAAAATGACAAAAAAAATACAATCTCTTTTTTCAGCCTAGTTCAAAATTTCAATATGTAAACAAACTAAAGTTAATGCTCTTCTCATCAAACTCAATTTCATTTTGCTTTTAGTGCCAAATACCAAATGTTGGCATGCAAATATACTGAACTAAGTTTGTACCTGATAAACAGCGTCACAGTCTCTGTTTCTCTCTATTGATGAACAGTGAAGCCCTTTGCACCTGAAAATGTTACAGTGGTGGTCAACATAGAGGACAGTCCACATCTCACCATCCAATGGCATACACCGTCTAACATAGACACAAAGTCAGGATGGGTCACTCTGAAGAATCAACTGAGAGTCAAACCAGACAAGAGCAAAATATGGAAGGTGAGTGGCTGACAGAGCTTCTCTAATATTGCATGGAAACATTCTTACCGTGTGCCAAAAATGAGTTCCCATGGAAAATTACCATTGGATGAATGAAACGTGTGCCAACCTATTTTGTTCTCACCACGGTGTGTATGTTAGTAAATTAGAATTGTTCGGAACAAACAGTTTTGTAGACTCTCCGTGCTATTTGGATACTATCTACATGCTAACCCTCCCCCACCATATATAAGGAAACAAGTTTCCGAAATGACCAAATGACTGAAAGACAATAATAGTTATTATTGGTATTATCAGTAGAGGTGGTGGTGGTGGTTGTTGTTGTTGTAGTAGTGGTAGTATTAATTTAAAAGATTTATATTTGTTTTCCTAACGCAGCCAAGCTGTGATTTGTTTGTATGCATTTTCAGGAAGGCTTCTAAATGTTACTCTTTTTTTTTTTTTGTTTTTTAAAGATATAAAAATATTGATATAGCATGTATTTTTCTGTGAAACTTCATTTACTCAATTGATGAGATCTAGTTATCCCAAGCACAGTGGCAAATCTACTACAGAATAACTTCAAAAGAAAAAAATTAAGGTATTGCAATGGCCCAGTCAACGTTCAGACCTCAACCTGACTGAAATGCCGTGGCGGTACCTTAAAAGAGAGCCGTGCATAAATGACTGACTGCAAAACTCAATGAACTTAAGCAATGCAATAAAGAGGAGTGGGCCAAAGTTCCTCCACAATGAGGTGAGAGCCTGGTAAAGTCATACGGAAAATGATTGCTTCAAGTTATGCATGACCTTGTGTACTTAGGTTTTTCACACACTGCCTCTGCCTTTTGGCTTAGTTTTTGTTAAATAAATAGTGACATGGTGTAATATGTCACCTGCTGCTGTATCTGAGGTTGTGTTTACCCAGTTTTAAAACCTGGAAATGACTAGATTTTTTAAAAAATGTCTCTGTATATAAAACCTTCAAACTGACACAGCGCACGCTTCTTGTTTGTATTGATTGTACGTGAAAATTGTAAATAACTTTCAAAAATCTGTGGATCTGAATGCCAATCAAGTCTAAAAGTTACTTCTTCTTAGAAGTCACTTCTAAGTTTGACCAACATTAATTTTATGCAAACCTTTTAACAAATATACAAATCAAACCGACATAATATTTTTGTATTAAATGTGAAATCAAATTAAACTCCAACTTATAAAGTAAATTAAGTATTATTATTATTACCATTTAGATTTTCCATCCAAAAAAGCAGAAAGCCACACAGTGAAAGCTTAACATGTTACCCATTATGAGTTGAAACCTCAAAATGTTACATTTTGAAAATTAATGCAATCACAAAATCACTTTTTTTTTTTTTTTTTTTTACATTTTTTTTACAAGTCTAACTTTTAGCAGTCTTGGCTAGTATCTCCACTGTCAGATGATGAATCCATGTTGGCAAGTCAAGCATGAAATCAGGCTCTGGAATGAACTACACCAGCCCAAATAGGAAATCATTAAACAACCTTTTTACTGTCATGTGAAGAATAAAGTTGTGGTGTAACCTGTCACACGCAATTAATCAGTAAATCAGTATACTGCAGTTTAATCATAAATTTTTATGGTTAAATTGTTTTATTTCAAAGTAAACAAATGTATTTTTAACTCTCGTTTAGTCCAAAGGTGATCTTAACAGTAGTAGAAGTCAAATGTTTTGTGATTTCTTTTATTCTTTCTTTCTAGAATTACGCGTCAGAAACACAAACACATTTCACCATTTACAGCATTGATCTTGGGGTGGTGTACATGGTTGAAGTGCGCTGTGCAATAGACAATAGCTGGAGTGAGTGGAGCAACACTACCTTTGTCAAAGTCCCTAACTGTAAGTCCCGAAAGCCCTTTACTCCTTCTTTACAACATATTGGCAAGTGCTAACAGTTAAAGATTAATAAAAAAAGTGCCTTTTTTTTTTTTTTTTTCTTTTCTTTTTTTTTTTTAAATTCAGTTTCTCGCAAGGACAATTCCTTTTGGATAATGGTTTTCAGCCTCTGTCTAATTCCATTGCTTGTGGCAATGATTATCTTGATCCTGAAGAGAAAAACGTATGTATCTGATATAAAGTCTAAATCTCTCTATTTTACATGAAGACAAGATGTGAAGACTTGACTCATGACTGTTTTCTTTCTCAGTGTGAAGAAGTATATTCTGCCCCCTGTCCCTAGTCCAAAGATAAGAGGAGTTGATGTTCAACTTCTCAAGGTGATTGCCTCTCCATTCTGCTTCTAGAATATGCACACACAAAAAAAGCCCCATTGTTTTGGTGCTGATAATAATGTACTCTATTAACCTTTGCAGAGCGGCCAATCTGAAGATGTCATTAATGCCATGCTTCTCAACCAGAGATTTCCTGTTATGATACCCTGGAAGGACCAGAAAGAGGATTACCTGATCGTGTCTGATAAAGAAACCTCGTATTTGCCGTTGGAGAAAAAGAAAATATTCATTCTGCCACTTGCCATGACATTAGACTCAGAAGTCCAATCTAAGGAGACAAGCGAAGTGGATCACTTTCCAAAAGACAGCGAGTCTTCCTCAGAGGAGAGTTCAGATAAGACAGAGTCGTCGCAGCTTCTTACTAAATGCTCAAGTGCAAACGTTTTAAATGATGAGAAGGCAAATCAGCTAAAAGGTGTCACTGAGAAGATCTTCCAACCCTTTGGAATCAGTGGTTACGTGGATATTCCGAGACATGAGCACATGCAGGAAGCAGACTACAGCAGAGTGAACGAGGTAAATGGTGACAATATTTTAATCATGAAGAAAGAAAATGTTCCCCATACTCTGGACACACAGGGACAAGAAGGCAGTGTGCCTGACAACTACAGCATGGTGAAAGAAGTGAATAGTGACAACATGGTTTTCCTGGAGAAACACAGTGAGTCAGTTAACGCTTCTTTTAAGGCTAAAGGCTACATAGACTGGGTCAATCAGAAGCCAAAAAATCTTCATATGACTGGGCACAGTGAAATGGGAGTGTGCCCACAACTAGTTGGTTGTGAATATGTAGATACTGTCCCTCCACCAGCTGTAATCTAAAACTTTTTATCATATAAAAATGCTATTATAAGGTGACAGCAGACATTCATCATTACTTACTGTTGAATCAAAGCTGTGAATAGTCTATATTTTTGCTGTTCTCGTTGGATGTACGGTTGGTACAGACATTCGTAAAAACCATAAAATGTACCATCTCTGGTCCAGAGTAGAATTTTTTTTGATAGCTATGGGATGGATTGCTGTTAAATGTGCCACAGACACTCAAGGCCTTGGGCTACTGAGTATAAATTATACTCGCACCAACAGCAGGTAAAAGTTTGTCCTTTTTCAGCAGAACAGTTTGACATGTGCTCATTGGATTTGCACATTTTGTCCAGACATCCATGAGAATGATAGTGCTCTGTTTCATCTCGAGTTATCTGGGGGCTGACTTTTTTTGTTTTGAGTAACATCCAGTGAATGGATTCTTGTGAAATTTTCTGCAGATATTAAAAATACACCAATGCTTTGGTGATGCCCGAGTTTTCAACCAGATTTGGCTATTTGGTTATACTGTGGTTTACCAATTAATACCTGCAAAAGCCTCAGGTGTAATTCGTGTTTAGTAGTAATTAGTATTGCCAAAGTTATGCTGAACTAGATCGAGACTATACCAGCTAAACATCAAATCCCTGCTTTTAGTGTCTGAGTACAGCATGACTGAATTGCTTTTAAGTCAACTCTTATATTACATTAGCCATGTCAAGCTTTCAAAACATTATTAGTAGAATGCTTAATTTGTGGTATAGCTAAGTAAAGTAACCCACGTTTAATCATTTAAGGCTTGTTGGCAAAGAGACGGTTGCTTGATGGCTTTACAGTTACTGTTTTCCTTTTTTGTTTTTGTTTTTTTTTGTTTGCCTCTGGCAGGTAAATTGTGGTCTGTTTCATGATCAAGAATGTACACAAAAAAGAGCATATCCAGGTTTCTAAAGTCATTACAACACAATATTACTGGCACATTTGTATTTATTTTTTTAAAGTGGTGGCATACTGTGCTGTAACTGACAAGCAAATCTGCATATGAACCTGTGCCTAGTCTAATCAAGTGATTATTTTACAAGATATGGTATCATTAAAAAAGCTTCAGACTTAAAGAATAGATTTTTGTGTTTTACTGATGTAAATTTATAATTAGATTTTTAAAATGCATCTTGTAACATAATACAAGGACTTCCAGATAGGTAATACTTATGCATTACGCATGTAAAAAA